TGGTTTAGGGTTAGGTATGTACTGGTAATGGTTTAGGGTTAGGTGTGGGCTGGTAATGGTTTAGGGTTAGGAGTGTACTGGTAATAGTTAGGTTTAATGTAAGTGTCAGGGTTATGCTATAGAAATGAAAGAAAAATTAATGGAAGTCAATGGAAAGTCCATATAAAGGTAGAAAGACAAATCTGTGTGTGTGTGTGTGTGTGTGGGGGGGGACTTTAGACCACCATTGATTGCTATTTGCTGATTTTATTTATTGATCTGTTATTTACATGGAATTCTCTGTTTACTTTCAAGTATGAATCACTAAAATTTCACAGAATCCACCTGACTGCTTATGGGCTAGTCGTTGGCCGTTAGCTTGTCAGTCCAGTTAGAATTTATCTTTTTTCTACAAATTGGGTTAACAGGTAATAGATTAAATGGATTGTGTAGTTTAATTGGGAACCCTCGGGGCCTTCAACACCTTCTGGAAAGGCCTAAGAATTCAGCACATATGTAATAATAAATTTAAAATGTTATGTCAATGTTTATTTTAAATAAAAAATATATATTCAATGTAGCTTTTCTTTTGCTCATTTCTTTTATTTTCTGTAAACTACTTTGCATTTAAGCAAGACTTTTCTTTTGTAATTCATTTGTTCAGTATCTGACGGGACAATTAATCAATCACAATATTGATTTAGAGTGAGTGGGACCAAAACACCGGACTTAGGACTTCAGGAAGGCCTTGCAAAGCATTTTTTCATTTTTTGACCATGTGAAGACGTGTTGCATTCAGTTTCAGCCTATAAATTCTAAAAAAAGAAGGTTAAATATAAAATTTAGGTTCACATTGATCATTTTTAGTATTAAAGTTTGTTTTGGTGTCTTTCCATGACGAAATATTAAAACAACAGTGAATTTTGTGGATTTCTGTAAAATTTCAATGTGAATTATTGACTGGTGTGAAATAACGCTATATTATATTAATATTAAATCTCTACACTTTTGCGTGACGGTTCATTTAGTTTGTGGTTTTCTCAATCAAACATCTTTGTTGCGTCACAAATGTGCATGTGCATGTAGATCACGTGTGATGGTGCACGAATGTTCAGCTGAGAAAACTGACAATTTAAACAACTTAATTGAATTAATTTAATTCAAACAAACTTTGAGAGTGTTTTATAAGCATGTAAAATTACATGAAATGACCTTGGACTGGTTAGCCATTAGCCTAGCCTGAAGGTCACAGCTTACAAGGGAATATTTATGTTTATAAGACGGAACGTTAGACTTTACTTTCTCTTTGAATTTTCAGAAATAACTGTTTCCAGATGTAGAAAACTGTTTGTAAAACTGTTTTAAAAAAATTACAATTAAATGTCTTCACTTGAAATGAATAAAAACATTTAATCTTATTTCAAGGGGAACATTCTGACACTCCAACTTATTTTGAACCAGTTGTAAAGTTTATTTTTTCATTAGTTTAAATCTGGATTTAATTTGTTAAAAAAAAGGCTGTAAACTCACCTCTTCTTGACTTCCATAATTAGTCTAGTTAAGTTTAAAAAGTGAAGCAGAAGCACTTTGAAGTACAGCAACAGCATCTGGTTGTGCTAATGACTGGGATGTTGCTTTATTTATTTAGACCGCAGGAGTTGGCTGCAGTTAATATGTGCACGGCACCAGAAACATCCCATAATGACCCAGCCTGCTACTGTTTAATGGGCTACTGCTGCTTCATTCTCTTCAAAAATGTCTTGTTTCTTGCTGCCACTGAAACTCCATACATGGGAAAGTTTTTTTGAATACATAAACGATTAAATTTTTTTAAATTTCAGCCGCATGGACTTGAGAGCCTCCAAACCAGGACTATTCAACTGGTGGCCCGGGGGCCAGATCAGGCCCACAAGTGTGCTCAGTTTGGTCCACCAATGGACTCGATTTTAAATCATAAAGCAAAGTTACTTAATGAGAAAAACTGCTGGATGTCCGGCCCCTGAGCTCTTGGTGTTCAGTAACTGTGGCCCCCTGAGCAGTTTAGTTGAATAGCCCTGATCTAAACAGTATTTTTATACATCCTTTGATCAGGGGCGGTCCTAGCCTGTTTGGTGCCCCGGGCACATAACCCCCCTTTTTTTTTTCCTAAACTGGGCACCTAATGGCTTTGACCTGTTCTGGTCCATCTTCCATGTGTGCCACTGGCACTTGAGCAGAGTAGGTTATCAGCACCCATCCAGAAACATGAGTCAGAACAACTTGGGCCTAAACTAATCCATCTTTGGTGTTCAGATTCATTTTTGTGTTGTTTTTTCACTGATTTCACACAAATAAGCTGAGAACTATTAGCTGTAAACGTGGTTTGGGAGCAATCAGTTGTGTGATTTACTTAGCGAACTATGGTAATTGTATTAGAATGCAAGATGGGGGGTGGGGGTGTTGGAGATGAGAGGGCTATCAGCACCACTAAGATCTGCTCTTGCTCCGTTTGTGTATCCAGGCCCAGTGAGAGTCCAAAAGCACTGAGGGGACGAGCTCACGAAGAAAGTCCCTGCCTGCACGGAGGAACAGTCATGAGCTGGGAAGGATCAGCAGGACCCCCTGGCATTAGCACATAGAGTAATGCATGCGTCTAATCGAAAAGAATTTCACTATGTGAAAAAAGTTTCTTCACACCTTGCAGGTAGCAAGATGTGTCTAATTACAAGTGTGTATGTTGTCCTGTAAGCAACCTGCTGTAATTAACCAACATGACTGCAGGAAGTGGCTCGTTGTGCTTTTTCTCCCAGCTGTTCCCTTCCAGCAGGTCTGTCTGTATGTACATGCTGTAAACACAAGAAGAAGGCGTCCTGATGCCACGCCGTCACTGCTGATGCTTTCTGAGTCCTTAGCCTTTCTTTTCCTACATTTCTCTTCCTGATCGTACTTGCATGACGTTGCACTCATGTCTGGATTTAGGTCTTTCTGGGCTTTAGGAGACAGCTTTGGATGTCAGGAGGGTCCTCAGAGTTCATGAGGGATGTGTTTACATGCACATGGAGATTCTGCGTCTGAGGTTTGCTGCCACCACAGTCAAATCAAGTCGTACCGCCTGCTGGCACGGTGAAAGGGCGGCCATTTTGTGTGCTCTGTGTGTTTGTTGGCAAAATACCTCATGGATCTATTGAAGGCTTTTAATGAAACTCAGAAGGTAAACATTAAATGTAGATCTGCAATTGATTAATTTAGGATTCAATCAAATTCAGTACGACCTTAACAAACATGAAAGTGGTCATAACTCTGACTTTTGTGCAGATAATGAGATAAAACTTTATGTGGTAGTAACAGAGTAACCCTCAACACATACTTCGTGTTGTAACACGTTTTTAGTCAAAAATAATAATCTGACATGAAAGGTGGTAGGCACTAAAATAATTTAATTTCCTGTTCTGGTTTTTAAGCTGGGACATTATTTTAACTCTGAATCAGCCGCTGGGGCTGCAGTAAGATAAAAAGGGACTTTATGAAACTTTATTGTCTGCCAGATTATCAGCTGACTCCAGGAAGTCACTACATCCAGCCGACAAACTGTCTTATTAAACCATTTGTAACAAAAATTATATATATATATATATATATATACACACAGTATATATAACACAATAGTGAAGGATTAAACTATCCGATACTTAGGAGCATGTTTAAAAGACTGCTTCCAGTAATTAATAAATACTGAAAAACTTTCATATTCTGTTGACAGGAGGTTTCACAGATTGTTTTTTTTTCTTGCTGTGCAAACAAATGAGATAAAGTCAGGCTTCTGTTTGTGTTCAACTTCCAGTCTTGACATTTACTGTAAAACAAGAAGCCCCACATTCCAGTACCCCACAAAACCACCAGAGGAGGTCTTTCATATACTTAAACTCAATAATGGCTGTTACTCAGTCAGTATTACACATACTGAGCTGACATTTAGAGTTGTAGTAGCTGATAGTAATTATATTATTGTGCTAACAAACCTCTCAGTATTGCATAAGATTGAGCATAAGGGTTTATTATATTTGACCGCAACACCTGCAACTCTGTCGTTTCAGATTATCTTAATGTATCTGCATTGCACCGTCTGCAGAGGCCTTAAAGCTGAATACGTCAAAGCCGGCGCCCAGAATCCCGTGTGCATGTGAACTCACTGGGTGATTTACTCTTCTGCTGCTAACGTGCTCCCAGTGAGCAGCGCCTGCCAATCTGTGCGGCTGGAAGCCACGGGCGCTGCTGCAAACACAATAATGAGTCTCCAGTGAACCCCCCCCGAGGGGCGTTGTAACGCTCAGCGCAGCACGGCGCCTCCTTTTGAAGGTGGCCACAGTTTTTAGTGTGCAGGGAAACGCCTCAGGACTGTAGGCGTTGAGTTTTAGTCGTGAACACCTCTTCAGTACGCGGAGGCAGAAGGTGGCAGTGAGCAGGTGCTTTAATAGCTTTATTTAGTCGATGACACGTAAATTGTGCAATGAAGGGACGAGCTCAGGGACTGCAGAGCTACAGAATGACAAGAAGGTCCTCACAGATGCAAGAGATCGTTCACCACAGACTAGAAGGTCCGATGTCCTTCAACAAGTCTTCGAACTCCTTGAACTTTTTGACATTTTGTCATGTTGCAACCACAAACAATAAGATTTTACTGAGATGATATGTGACAAAGGATTGAATCATCCATCCATTATCTTTACCTGCTTCTTCCTTTCCGGGTCACGGGGGGGTCGCTGGTGCCAGCAGTCACTGTGTGAGAGGTGGGGCACCCCCTCCTAAAAGCACATTTGTGTTCAACCTCCCTGAGTGAACACTTTGTCGACCCCACCTTTCACCGAGTCTTTTGAAGTTTCTACCAGTTTGTCACATCCAGGGACTGAAGGTCCAGCGTGGTGCAGCATCTGCAGTATTACAGACTCTGTGCCGGTCCGCTGTGGTGAAGAGGGAGCTGAGCTGTAAGACAAAGCTCTGTTTAGTGGTCAGTCTACGTTCCTACCCTCACCTATGTTCATGAACGAGACTGAAAGAACGAGATCGTGGATACAGGAGGGTGAAATGAGTTTCCTCTGCAGAGTTGGACTCTCCCTTAGAGACAGGGTGAGAAGTTCAGTTATCAGGAGAGACTCAGAGTAGAACCACTGCTCCTCCACTTCCAGAGGAGCCAGTTGAGGTGGTTCATCTGGTAAGGATGCTCTCTTGGCGCCTCCCTAGGGAGGTGCTTCGGGCATGTCCAACTGGGAGGAGACCCCGGGGAAGACCCAGGACACGCTGGAGAGACTATGTCTCTCGCTTGGCCTGGGAACGCCTTGGAGTCCTCCCAGAAGAGCTGGAAGAGATGGATGTGGAAAGAGATGTCTGGACCTCACTGCTCAAGATGCTGCCCCCAAGACCTGAGTCCAGAACAAGAGCACGGGCGGGACAGGACTGAAGGTTTTGTCCCTTCTTCTTTGCTTTAAATCTGACCCATTCCATTGTCTCCGGCTGAATGTTTCAGGTTGTCCTTCTGGAAGGAGAACCTTCACCGCACTCTGAAGTCTTTACAACCTCCAACACGTTCTCCGTCCTGTATTTACCTCCATCCGTCTTCACATCCATCCTAACCAGCTTCCCTGTTCCTGCTGAAGGAAAGCATCCCCACAGCATGATGCTGCCACTTCCCTGCTTCACAGTGTGAACACTGTGTTCAGGATGAACGTTGAAGCTCCTTCAGAGCTACCATGGGGTCGCTCAGATTAAATCACTTCTCTCTCGTCCTGTCTGTTTAGGCGGACGGCCATGTCGTGCTGTACTCATTTTGTTTTCAAACGATGAAGCGAACAGAACTCTGCGAGATGTTTAAAGCTTGGATTTATTGTTACATCCTAACTCTGCTTTCAACTACTCAACAACTTTCTCCCTGACCTGGCTGGTCTGTTCCTTGGTCTTCATGATGCTGTTTGATCACGAATGTTCATATTGAAGAAAAGTTCAAGAAGCACGAAGACTTTTTCAAGGTGTAGTAAATGAAATGTCTATTTCGGGGTTTAATTGGTTGTGATTTTACTAGAGACCAAGAGAAACAGGAGAATGTTAATCAGGAGTTTTATTTCCCTTGAAGTGATGTCGATGCATGATTTGGGTTTTAGTTTGTCTTTGGACGAAGCTGCTCAGTGAAGTTTCTGTCACAGAGTGCTGATTGGACAGGCTGGTCACAGGTAATCAGGTGAGGTTTACATTTATGTTTGTGTTCATTTTGCCATTCAGGATATCCATTTGCAATTTAAATGGGCATTGTCCAACTTTCTGTAAATGCAAAATAAAAAGGTCTGAAGTTCACCAAATCTGATTTAACTGAATGACAAAAAGCTCGTTTTTAATTCTTCTTGTGATGTGTGACGCTGTCTATAAGCTAAGGTCTTAACCTGTTACACTGTGTCAAGAAAAACAAGAAGAGACTCCTTTATTGTTGGCTTTCTAAATGTGATTTTTCATTTTTGATGTATGCTATCATTATTATTATTATTATCATTACTATTATCATTATTATAAGGTCTGCAATATTAGTGGAGTTCAGTTGTAATAAGATGGCCAACATGCAGATTCCCTCGCTCGCACACGTCGTCCTCACTGAAACATTCATTCACTGAAAAGCAGAAAATTACATTAATTGCTTTCAAAATTAAAAAAACATCTAAAACAAAAATATTCTGAAACTACTGGATGTTTGTTTTTCCTGCGTATTCTCCGTTCCCTTCCTTTCGTTTTCATTCTTTCAGTTTGTGCCTGTAGCTGTAGCGTAAAGTAACCTTTCAGCAAACAAGACGATCTAACGGCCTCTTGTGTGTCCAAGTTTGTGTTTGTGTCTTTGTAGAGGATTTGTCTATTTATTTATGCATTTTTTATGTGTTTGTTTATTCTCTGTGTTCTAAAGGGAAACTTCTGCTCAGCCTTTACATTTGTGCCAAACTGACAGATTCCAGGTATGCATTAAAGTATATCTGTGTTAGTGTCGTTCACAGAATGCCTGGACGCTCTATGTAAAGCTTCATGCTGCTGGCGAAAGTCACGTTTATTAAAAATATAATTTAAACATAAAACAAGAAAAAAAAATCAGATCTGCTGATGAGTTTTATTTTAACCAGTGCTAATGCAATACTGTATATTCCCCCATCAGCTGAAACGTGGGATTATACCAATAAAACACAGGAAAGTGTAAACATTGTGATCGTTTTATTGTTTCCAGAAACACCGTGTACGAGCAGAAAACAGCATCTCTGACCTGATTTATCTGTGTATGCTTCTTGTACACATTTGTTTCTCATGTTTATTTTACATAGCATAGTTTTATGTCACAAAACCACAGTTTGTATGTAAATAAATCAAATGTGAGATATATTAAAAAGATTTCAAATATTACTCACGCTGGTCATTTTGTTTTGTTGATGCTTAATCTCAGAAAAAAGTGGATTGTTCTCTTCGGGTCGAGTGAGGGAAGAATGGAGCGTGAGATTGACAGATGGATTGGTGCAGCATCTGCAGTATTGTGGACTCTGTGCCGGTCCATTGTGGTGAAGAGGGAGCTGAGCTGTAAGGCAAAGCTCTCTGTTTACCGATCGGTCTACGTTCCTACCCTCACCTCTGGTCATGAACTCTGGTAAGGATGCTCCCTAGGGAGGTGCTTCAGGCATGTCCAACGGAGGAGACACCGGGGAAGACCCAGGACACGCTGGAGAGACTACGTCTCTCGGTTGGCCTGGGAACACCTTGGAGTCCTCCCAGAAGAAATGGAAGAGGCTGTGGAAAGAGATGTCTGGACCCGTTCAAGATGCTGCCCCCGAGACCCGACTTGGGAACAAGAGGGAGGATGGATGGATGACTGGATGGATGCCTAAATGTTCCCTCCAGGTCAGGGATGAATCCCTGCGTCAAGCGAAAGGGTTCAAGTATCTTGAATTTTAGTTCCCTCGATGTGGCAGGATGAAGGAGATGGACTGGTGAATCAGGGCTGTGTTCACAGTAATGAGGCTGTTGCAGTGAAGAAGGAGCTTTACCAAAAGGAAAACCTCAGTTAACTGGCCCAATTATGTTCCAGCGCTCATTGATGGTCGTGAGGTTCGATTCATGACTGCAAGAATGAGATCCTGAAATGGGTTCCCACCTTAGGGAGGACAAAGAATGAGGATCTCCATCATCTGGGGGGATCTGAGCAGGGACACCTGGACAGGTCTCCAGTCCATCACAGGGACACCTGGACAGGTCTCCAGTACATACAGGGACACCTGGACAGGTCTCCAGTCCATACAGAGACACCTGGACAGGTCTCCAGTCCATCACAGGGACACCTGGACTGGTCTCCAGTCCATCACAGATCACAGGGCCACACAGAGACGAGACAATCTTTCGCTCTCTCCTAGGGACCATTTAGAGTCACCAATCAGTCTAACATGCATGTTTTTGGTCTGTAGGAGGAAACTGGAAGGCGCTCTGTGAAAATGGGGAACCTGGAGAAAACCCACGCAGCACGGAGAGAACATGTAGACTCTATCCAGAAAGCCACCAAGCAAGGATTTGAACCGACCTTCTCGCTGAGAGGTGGCAGTTCCACCAACTGAGCCACTGTGCCGCCCCACAATTAATATCACATTTCAAGATAATGACACACAGTATTCTTAAAAATAAATGAATAAATAGTTTAGTGACTCTTTCCTCAAATGTCTTCTGTTTTTCAGCAGGTGTCACCATCAGCTCATGCAAAGTGAAGGTAATCATCAGCACAGCTGCTACATGGAGCACCAGCACTGTTCAACTGTCAGTGGGGGGGGGGGGCATTAAATATAAAACATTTGAATGTTAGTCAGAGAGAAATTTATTTGTCACGAGATTATGTCCACAGGGTCACAGTTACATCCGACAATAAAATGTAAAAGAAAAACAGTAATAACATCTAAGATATGAACTAAGAAAAACATCAACTAAATATACACTAAGCACTAATAGTATAAAAACATTACATCGAACAGCAGCACGAACATGAGTCTGTGTGAGCAGATGAGCACGAATGAACACAGCAACATGAAACAGATCAGCAGCAACATGAAATGGATCAGTAGCAACATGAAACCGATCAGTAGCAACATGAAACAGATCAGCAGTAACATGAAACAGATCAGCAGCAACATGAAATGGATCAGTAGCAACATGAAACCGATCAGCAGCAACATGAGACAGATCAGCAGCAACATGAAATGGATCAGTAGCAACATGAAACAGATCAGCAACATGAGACAGATCAGCAGCAACATGGAACAGATCAGCAGCAACATGATATGGTTTTTCACAGTGATTATTCTAGTTAGAGATTCATGAGTCTAACAGCCTCAGGGTAGAAGCTGTTCCTCAGTCTAGTGGTTCTACACTTAATGCTCCTCAACCTCCTTCCTGAGGGGAGTGGGCAAAAAGTGTGTATGCTGGGTGAGTGTGGTCCTTCATGATGCAGGTGGCCCTCTTCCTGCATCTGGAGGTGTAGATGTCTGTGATGGTGGGAAGATTGACTCCAACATCTTCTGTGCAGCCTTCACCACTCTCTGCAAAGCTTTTCTTTCTGCAGCTGTGCAGCCTCCATGCCACACGTTGATGCTGGAGCACAGGATGCTCTCCACTGCACACCTGTAGAAGGAGGTGAGGACTGAGCTTCCCAGACCAGAGTCTCTGATGACAATCTGTTAACAATGTTCCGCAGACACTGCAATAAAACCCAAAGCATAAAGTAACAAATAGCAACTTATTTAAGAAGACAGAGTATGAAGTTGGAATTTACTTTTTGACTTTTACACATTTGTGTCCCATAAAAATATTAAAATCCTAGAAGTTCATGAAATAATGCGTATCAGCCAGCTTCTATGCCGGAGATTTAAATTAAAATAATTTCTTCAATTAAATTAAATTCAGTTTATTTATATAGCAACATAAATCTTGGCACGGCACAGAAACATTCACATACACAAAAATCAGTTAGTAATAATATTTATCTAAGGAGATGACCTTTAATTATTACTTTTTTTTAAAGCTGAGAAGTAACAGTCAAAACATGTGAATTAAACAATAGAGATTAAAGAAACCGGAAATGACTTGGAACCAGTTTGGGGGCGTGGTGCCCGATTGCTACGCATGCGCATTAGTTACTGTTAAAAGGTCATCTTCCTTCCCTGTGAGCGGGCGGTGTTTAGGACCCGGCGGCCGCCGCAGGCCTCGGGGCTGCTGCAGTTAGCGGCGCATCTGGCGGAGGGCTGGCCGGCTGAGGGTGGCGGAGGACGGGGAGAGAAGGACGGAGGCTCCGGGAGCAGCGAGACAACAAGGCTCGGGCCTGGGACTTGGGCACAACCGGGTAAAGAACACACAGCGACATTTCAACCCGCCGCTGTGGCAGCAGAAAAATTAATTACGAACAAAACAAACAAAAAAATCGCGACTGCTCGTTGGCGCTCGGTGAAAACGGGGAAATAGCGAACTGAGGGGGGGTTGGTGCAGATGATGCTCATCATCCGCCATGGAGGTGAACCTGAAGGTGTTTCCAGCACGGAGCCCGCCGCGGCTCCTCAAAACACCCGTCTCATTTACACTGATACCGGGGGGGCTACCCTGAGTGTCCGTGGCCTGTAAAGGAGCCACAGCCCCCCCGGTCTGACTGCAGACCCCCCGGAGCAGGAGACGGTCTAACTTCACGGTTTGAGGCGCAGCTGGAGAGATCATCAACGTGATGCGCGCGCGTGGCTTGATTCAAGATGAAGCTCCAGAAAACAACCTTTAAAATGTTTTCTGTGATCCTCATGAGGATCCAGGATCCACATCAGGATCCACATCAGGATCTTCACTGTCACGACCCTCAGGGAAACATCCTCCAGATTCTGGGGTCACGGCGCGGGTCACGCATTTCCACCGGTGCAGGAACCGGGGCTGCGCGCGCATGGCTGGAGCAACTTCAGCCCCATGTGGAGATTAAATATTAATGCAGAAGATGCACGTGCAACAGCGTGCTCGTGCTGTAATTGTTCGTCATTAGACACAAGAGAGCCACAGCAGACATGTGGTGTAGAGGGCCTGCAGCCTGTATATGGTCTCCATACTGCGCGTGTAAGAAGCGCGTGCGGGTCCTATAGCTGCGTGACGTGCGGCCAACAAAGAAACCCGAGTCTGGGAGGAAAGTGAGAAAAGTTGCAGTCTGTTGTTAAAGCAGCTGATCACGTGCACATTTGTCAGAGTTTACATTGGTATCACCACTAATGGCTGCTCTGTCTGTTAGCAAAATATCTCATGAACCATTGGTTAGGTTGTAATGAAACTCTTGAGAAAGTAATCGTGGGATGTAAATCGAAAGCTGGTTAAAGACCTTTATTGAACCTGAGTACAACAAAATTTGAGTTTGCTTCCCAGAGAAAAAGTAAAAAGTGTGTAATATAAATACAGTGTATAAAGTATTAGTACTAGTACACAATATAAAAGGTAATAGTTACAGATTCTGAACAGTCCAAATGTGCAACACAAGCAGATTGATATTACACTAGTGGTCCCTTATTGCACTGATTCAGTTCTTATTGCACTGATTCAGTTCTTATTG